TTTGGACGTTATTTTGCATAAATAGGTGAGTGTTTCTTGTTTGTTATACTTTCATTGACTATGTGGCTTGTTCTTGATTATATGACTTGTTATGAACGAATGATATGTTTTCAATGATTGCTTAAAATGAGTTATCTAGGTGAGTGTGTACTTTATCGCACTCGACCTGAATGAACGTAAATCTTTCAATGATTAAATAATTAAATACTAGTTGCACATGAATGTAAGCCGTTTGGCTGTACTGTACCCTTGCCCTTCGTTGCCGGTCGACTCGAGCTAGAAACGGACTCGGTCGGGCGATTTGGTGACCCTGGGTGAACGATTGGTATACTCGAGTATTACCTTATATTCTGGTGGAGCCTGGCCAATATCCAGGAGGGGGATGAATGAAATGAATGAACGAACGAGGGTTTTACTTACAAAAATGTATTTTTAAAATGATTGGAGGAATAAGGGGAATGACAGGAGAATGAACGAACGAACGAATAGCTCCTGTGAGCCCGTATCCTTTTAATGGATGTGTTGTTATTGCTTTCCCTTGTAAATGTTTCTTGAACTGGATTGATTATTTGATTATGTGTTCGGAACCTCTCTGAGCTTTTAATTCATCCCTTTAGTTTTGTTTTCCTTAGCAGGGGAAGACGAGTAAGGACAAGAGCTCGGTAGAGACTAGTCTAGACTAGTTTCTTTGATTTTGTAATGGTTCTCGCCCTAGTGCTCGGCACGGGATGGATGTATGGTGAATTGAGAACCTTTGTATATTCGATAGTTGTACTCTCTTTTGAGATAGCAATGTATATAAGTTGTGCTTTAAGTTTTGGATCGTTGTTATGTTTATTCTTGGTCTATTCTAGTTTCGATTGAGGATTGAAGTGAACGACTAAGTCCCGGTGAGAGTTGGGCAGGCAGTCCGCTGACCTCTTTGGTTCGCCTTAGGGGAGGTAGGGCTGTCACATGAACTCACTTACCTTTGATTCTTAGTTGCTTTAATGGTTGAATTTGAACCAAGGAAGTGAATTTTGTTAAGAAAAGATTCATAATCTCAAGTTGTTAGAAAATCTAGAAATTTTCGCAGAAGACTCTGCGCAGTTTTGGGAAATTGGCTATAACTTCGTATAGGAAAGTCGGAATTGAGTTCCATTTGTTGCATTTGAAACTAGACTCATATAGTTTCGTACGGTGTAAAATTTAAAGTTTGATTCAATCTCTATAAATTCTAGAAAATTAGCAAATTTGACTGAAAATTCTGCCCTACACAAGTAAACATAGGAAAGTTGTAATAGCTTATGGCTTAATTTGGACTAACTTATGAGTTGAATCTCTTTGAGGTATTTTCTAAAGATAATTAGTATTTGAAATATAGGTTTTAATAGGCCAAGTTGTATGAATTTTTTATATTTATAACTCAAATTATGATTTTTCTAAATGAAGGGAATTAATTAGGGTTTTTGTACATATTAGGGTTTTGGTGTGTCTTTGGTGCATTTTGGTAGTGTGATCACTTGAGTGTGTGTACTAAATTTAATGATTAAGAGTGAGTTTTAGATAAGAAATGTTTGTGATTAGAAGTAATAATAATAATTTAGTGAATTATAAGTTAAAACCCTAGTACGTGTGAAATAAGGAAAATCGGGTTGAACCAATATGTACCGTTCGTTACCGATTGAGTACACCACTTGATCACCACTTTATTACCTTAATTTTCTTATTATTAATTGAGCAAAATCAGCCCTAAAATATCTCCTAAAGCAGCCGAAATTTTGGACTAAAGAAAAAGGAGAAAAGAAAAATAATTAGCCATCTTGAGTTGATACTTGTTGGCAATCCATAGAACTTTGACCAAATGAGTTTCTTCCTTCTTATCTTTTTTCTTGGCTCCATTCTCTTCCATTTTCTTCCATCCTGGCCGAAAATAAGAGAGGGAAAAGAGAGAAAAATAACTTCAACTCCAAACCTTGATTCTTCCTTGTTGAGCTGAAATTAACCGAACCAAATCGATTAAATTTACCTTTTTGTACTTGATTTGAAATTTTGGGAAGATAGTGGTGTGTTTCACCTACAAGGAGTTTCTAGAAGGTACCATGCTGTCTTTCTTATTTTTCTTCCTTATCATGTTTAAATTTGGATAGAAACTCCTATTCTTGGCTAATGATGGTTATTTAAGTAGTTTTGATTGATATGGTAGATGTTTAGCTAGGGTTTACATTTCAGTCTTAATTATGGTTATTTATCTAGTAATGGATGTTATAGAGTTAGTAATTGTTGGTTTTGATGATTGAATACTTATTAAATATGAAATTCTAGAGGAAAAGTTCAAATTCCAGAAATTGAAACTAACCTATTTAGCTTCTGACCTATTTAATTCGTCCATGTTAAAGGCCAAATCACGCTTAAGTCAAAACATGAAAGTTGTAGGAAATGATGTTATATAGTTTTCTGTAAAATTTCAGCTCAATCAAAGCACTGTACCATGTGAAATGACCAAAATATCCTTGACTGCCAAATGTACAGTGTTGTGGACAGTTTCTATTTTCCTCTGAGATGTCACATTTTGACCTTGAAAATGGACTAATTGGCTGTTGATGTCTTCATATAATTTGTAATTCTCTGTCTTAACTTTGAAACAGTATAAAGTGTACACCAATCTGAAAAACGTAGCTTCAGTTGTGACCGAAACACAAGAGACATCAAATCTACCATTTAGCTATTTGCCTTTAAACTTGATTTCCAGATGCCTTGTTAAGACTTGTGTTGTAATTGGATTATTTTGAGCCTAGTTGAACGCTATTGTGGTAACATTGCCTATCTGTGACATTGGAGCTGATTTGAGAAAAATAATGAAGCCATAAATGGCTGGAAAATAGGTAAACACAAGAGGCATGCCGCGCCAAATTTTCACTAGAGATATAAACTAGCATTTGGAGTTCTGGTTCTGTAATCTGCAAATTCGACCTAGATCAACTGAAAACTGGGTTGAGTTGTCATCAAAGTTGTAACCCTTTGTCTTAACTTCGAGACGCTACCTAGTACACCTTGATCGGATAACCACATCTCTGGTTATGGTCAAAACCATATAACCCATTTTTATACCATTTTCATTTCCGCACATGTGCACATACATTTCTTTGCCTTTTTGCCGTTTTGGCCGTTGTCGCGCCCCATTTTTGCGATGAAAATATAATGAGTTTATAAAAGATATGATTTATTAATAATAAATGAAAAAGGACCTAGAATGGGACTTAAAAAGAATGCGACAATTTGGGTCCAAAATTTAGTCTAAAAGGGTTTTTAAGAAAAAATAGGAGTCGCCACTTGGTATGAGTTTTGGTGTACCAAGTCACCCAAAAAATAAAGTAAAATAAAATAAAACCCTTTTTGACAACTCCAGGTCTTTGAAAAACAAGAGAAAATGGATTCGAGAGTCATGGTTGAAGAAAGGGAAGGCAAAGGTTCGATTAACTCAAATCTAAGGCACCCTTTCAACCTAGTCTAAGCTAGTTGCGAGATTTAGTCAAAATTTTCCTAATCTAACCCTTAATTTTATCATATTTGGATGTTTCCTATATGAATGCAAATCTAAATTTATAAAAATATCGAAAGGAACAAAATGTTCATTCAAGGTTTAATTGAATCAATTGCATTAATTGCAAAGGCCAAAATAATTCCTTGAAGGTGCCATGAGTATGCAAATAATGAAATTAAAAGAAAGAAAAGAAATTAAACTATATACATAGATATAAGTGATCAAAGAAAAAGAAATGCAACATAAAAGGTACAGGAGGCAAAAACTCGTGACATAATTTTCTTAATACAGGGATTAATGGGGTATTTAAACTAAAAAGTTATAATCACCCATTTCCCATGTTTAAAAAATAATTCTCCTAATATGCACAAGCAAATGAACTAACTTAAATGAGATGCAATTCTAAATGACATGATTAACACATGGAGGATAGGGGGATAATAGATAATTAGGAATATCATGCAAATGGGAAAAGATCCTAAAAAATAAAATATGCATGAAAATGTAATGAATAGCATACAAAGATGAACCTAGCGCAAGACGACCTAAAGGGTCTAGCGTTGAACTAGCCTATTTCTAAAAACCTTACTAGCATTGGACTAGCAAGTAAGCGGAGGGAGAAGCCACAACTAGCGTTGGATTAGTGTGGTGACGTCATGCATTAACAATTCATAATGAGACAAATAAAGCATAAATAAAACAAATAAACACATAAGAGCACGTAGCACATAACACATAAACATAATATCTAAATGCCAAAATCCTAAGAAAAGCGGATAAAACATAATACATAAGCCACATAAACACGCAACCTATCTATTACATCGGGGAGCGCCTAACTACAATCTAAAATGGGAAGATATGATAAAATAAAATTAGTTATCCTATCTATTACATTTTTTAGGTATTTAAATGCTCTCGGATAATTATAAAAGGATGCATTAAATCAAAAACAGCCCAAAAATGAAGAAAATTATTCTAATGCTTTTAAGGCTCAAAAACTCCAAAATTTGGATAACCAAGCATTTTCGATCTACACTATCAGATGGTCATTGTAGACACCAAATTTTGATTTTTAAACTTTATTTGTTTAATTAATTTAATCTTAGCTTTATTGTTTCAATTTTAGGATTTCATTTATTATTATTATTATTATATTATTTTATTATTATTTTTATTATTGTTATTTTTTATTTTTGTTCTAGTTTATTTTTGGCTTCACATTAAATTTCAGGAAAAACAAAAGAAAAAGAGAAAAGGAAAAAGGAAAAAAAAAAGAGTGAAAATGACAAGTGGGACTGCATGCACTTGGACAAGTGTCTTTTCTATGTTTTAGACAACTCAGCACCCAAGGGTTGAGGTGTTAGGGACACTTGGGAAGTTAAGGAATTTTTGGGGGTCAAGGTAGAATTTTGTGAGGGCTAAAAAATAAAAACAAGGCAATTAGAGGAGGCTTCATCTGGGTTGGAGAAAAAAACGGAGGTAAGGAAGGCTACGGGGGGATAGTTTGGCGGCGGGGACTAAGTAGAAAAAAAACAGAGAGAGACAACTGAGAGGGTAAGAAGGGCGGCGAAAAATGGAAGAAAAAAAAAAGAAGTTGAGGGCAACAACGGAACAAGAGTGAAGTCTGGTGGCGGACAAAGGGGCTTCGGATAAGAAAAGGGAGGTCCGAGAGCTTGAGAAGAGGAGGAAGGGTCTTCGGTTGAGGGCCGAGAGAGTTGAGAGCCGAGGGAGAAATCAGATGGCCGGCTGAGATAGGGAGAACGCGAGAGCGGAGAGTCTAAGGTTTGGGGTTGGAGTGAAAAAAGGAGAGGAGCAGCGAGAAGAGAAAAACGCAGGGGAAAGCTGGGGAGTTTCAGGGCTTCAGGCTAAATAAAAAAAATAGAGAACAGGAAGCGAAAAAGCAGCTGGAGATTTGGGGCTAAGAGGGAAGAGATCTGGGCAGAGGGAGGGAGCTAAAAACAGAGAAAGAAAAAGGGCGGCGACACCAAGCTCAAGAAAAACAGAGGGAGGGGGTCGGATGGAAAAAAGGGGACGGCTGATAGCGGCTGAAAAAAACAGAAAAGGCCGGGAGAGGTTTCGGCTCAAAAAGGGAACGAAAAGAAAAATGAACGGAGGGCTTCGTCCAGAAAAAAAGAAGAAAAACAGAGAAGGAGGCTCTCGGTTGAGGGGAAAAAAAAACCAGAAAACAGAGAGGAGGGCAGCGGGATTGAACAAGAAAAAATCTGGGCAAGAGAAGGAGAACAGGGCGAAGGGCAGTAAGGAAAAAGCTAAGAAGAAAAACAAAAAGAGCGACGCCAAGAGCAAAAGGGAGTTTCGTCAAAGGGGACAGCGGAAGAAAATCAGAAACCAGAGGGAGGAAGCTTCGGGTAGAAAGGTAAGGAAGAAAAGGGGAAATCTGGAATTTGAGGGGCGAACTTCGGAGACTAAACAAAAGAGACCGAGAGAGTTGAGAGCAAAGAAAGGAAACAAACAAAAACAGGAGAAGGTCTTGAGGGCTGGAAACAAAAGGAAACTTCGGGCAGATTGAAAATGAAGAAGGAAAGGAAAAGAAGGAAAGCTGGGCGGAAGCATGGCAGTTTGATGTCGGCTTCGGAACTTTACCGGGAGAAAATATCGTAAGTTGTCCTTTGCCTTTAAATTTCAGCTTCTTTCCAAACACAAACGTTGGAAGCTCTCAAAAGCATGTTTTTTTCTGAATTTGCTCATTGCAATGTTCGCCGATTATACATGATTGTGAAACATACATGCTATCTGTGATTGTTTGGAATGAATTTCCTTATGTTTCTGACAACTTTTGGGGCCAATCATAACTTCAATTGAGCAAAAATCTGATGAAATTTCTGATGCCCCTAACCTGTTTGACGAAATGCCTGACTGAGATTTCGGCTTGAAGGAACGAATTGATTTATGTTTGTTTAGCATCCGTTTGTTTGGCGTCTACTCTGTTTCTCTGTTGCTTGGTATTCCTTTTTGTATGGACTCAATTTGATGACATGAGATTGAGTGAGAGGAAGTTTGTTCGTTTCTTTTTCGTGTGAAAATGGTAATCAAATTTCTGGTGATTCATTTATCCACAAAGAAAGATGGAAATAGCAGCGGATGGCTAGTCCGTTGGAGAAGATGACTACTTGGCTAAATTTACAATTTCAGTTCCTCCCATTTTCCTCTGCTTTGTCATTTAACCACAGAGTTTTAGAACTTCAAAATTTGATCCCAAAACCTTCATGATTCCTCCAATTAGATCCCTATTTTGTTGTGATTGAACCTCTCAAGTTTCCCTTTTTCTGATATAGCCCAAAGGATTGAAAAGTTGAACTCATTTCACCCTTTTTGATTTTAATCATCTTTTAATATTTTAAGTAGTCTTTTGGATAGATTAATTCTTGATTTAGATCATAATTGTGACTTGATAATTTTAATGGTTTTGTTTATCTTGTTGGACTTTAGTATTATGGTTTAGGTTTTGGGTAATTGTATTTGATTGGGTTTGTAAAAATGGGTCAGTTTATTCTTCTTTTTCTGGGTTTTGTTGGGCTAGAGGGTCAAGGCCCATAAGTTTTGTTGGCTAATTTTGGGTCAAAGTAATAGACTGGCTTACTTCATTTACTTTGGGTTTTCAGTTGGGCTGGGGAAGGTTTTCAGCCCAAACAAATAAAGAAAAGGGCCCAATGGCCTGTTAAGTCAAGAAGCCTGATGACGAAATTTCATTCCAACCCCTAACTTTTGGATATTTTCACTATGGCCCTACAAACTTTCAATTTCATTCAATTGGGTCCTTACTTTAATTGCAAATGAGTCCTTGAACTTTATTTTTCTTTAATTTTGGCTCCAAAATTTTGTCAATCTTTGCAATCAAGTCCTTTCTTCTCTTGACTTCTTAAATGTGGGTTGTTGACATGATTTAATTGATTCAAATTCATGTTTATTTTATCCTTTGTGATTATTTGCCAAATAAATTGGTACCTTGACCTTTTCTTTTATTTTGGAGGATAAATAAGCGATTTCACTTCATTAGGGCTCCAAATCAAGGGAGATACATCCTATCCCTTATTTCTCACTTTATTTGACCCTATGTGTGTATATGTGCCTTATGTGTGCAATTGCATGACTTTAAGTGTTTATTTCATTTTCACTTTATTCATTTCTTTAATTATTAAATTTCACTTTAATTTTGGTTCAATTTTGATCATTTGAAAGGCACTTGAATGCCAAAGTTGTATAGCTAGGTTATTATTTTATTTATTTTATTCCGTTTCCCCTCTTAGATTGTAATAGGCCTTCCCCCTAAAATGTAATAGTCAGGGCCTTAATTGTCTTGTGTGTTTTGCATGTCTATGTGATATGTGTTTGTAGACACCAAATTTTTGTCAATTTTTAATATTTTCTCAAGATTTTTCTATTTAATGAATTATTTATTTTCTAGCATTTTAATGTGCATTTTCTTATTTTTGCAAGTTTGTTTAGAAAAAAATAAACAAAACAAAACAAAAAAAGAGAAAACTAAAAAATCAAAAAATCAACATAATCATTTTGTTTCACCAAAATCACTTAACCCATTCTTACACTCCACTTTCAGGACCTTTCTTTCATTAGCTAAGAAATCATCATTTTGGTGAATAACACACAGAAGCTCCACTTTCTCTCCCAATATACATCTCTCGGGTCTCTCCCTCACAGGAGAAGGAAGAAAAGGAAAAAAATTTTCCCTCCCTCTCTCGGCTAGCTCTTAACAGACAAGAAACAAAAACAGACACAAGAAAAAAATTCTCTCGGTTCTCTCTCTGGTCTCAACCGAAAAAAGAAAAAAAGAGAAAAGCTCCTCACCTCACTCTCTCCTTCTCTCGGACTTGGGCAGAAGAAAGAAGACAAGAGGAACCAAAAAAAAAGGGCTCCCTCTACACATTTTCTTCCACAAAATCCAAACACAAAGAAGGGAAAGGCAGCTATCAGTCAAGGCTTGGAAATTTCATCAAAACTTCAACCGAAAGGTTTTCATATTTATTGAGGTATACTTTTAGTTTTTTTTGTCATATTAAATCAATGCTTCATTGTTTAGTTTTCTTTCGTTTCTGCTGGCTGCCTTGCATTGTTGTTGTTGTATTGTTAAAATTGGGAAATGGCATGAACCAGATTTAGGAAAAGGGAATGTTTCTTGTGAATGCATGTTAATTGTTTGAAAAAATGCCAAAATAAAAAAAAAGATTTTTAGGGGCTGTTTTGCTTTATTTTAGACTTTTGTTGTTGTTTTCTTGTCAAACTAAGATTATAGTTGTAATGTAGAAGCTATGAGGAGGATTTTGGCATAATTTTTATGATTTTTGGTGAAGATTTGAGGGTTTTAAAAAAATAAAAACTGGGCTGATTTCTTGACTTTTTGGCCACCTTCGGGTCACCTTTTGTAAAAACTAACTCCAGAATTGGAATCTACGCAAAAATCGAGTGACGGAGTGTATATTGGTGAAATTCGGCGACCGGAGATGTCGCCGGCGACCGGCCGGCGGCGGCGGTCCGGTGGCGGAGGCAACCATGGCCGCCAGCAGGGAGAAGCTTCAGCTTCTCGGTGGAAGGAGAAGAAAAGAAGAAGAAAAGAAAGGAAAGAAAAGAAGGAAAAAAAAAGGGAATTGGGCTAATGTTTTATTTCGATTGGGCCAAGAGCTAGTTTTGGGTTGGGTTTTGAAAAATGGGTTTTGGTTTATTTCTCTTGGGGTTTTGGTTGGGCTTGAGGGATAAAAAGATGGGTTGGCCTGCTCGTTTTCTCTTGGATTTCGGCTGGGCTTAGATAGTGTTTGGCCCAAAGAAATAAAAATGATGGCCCAGTGGCCTGATTTGTTAAGGAATAAGAAAACATTTTTGCATATCAGTCCCTGTGCTTTCAAGTATTGTTGCTACGGCCCAGAACATTTTAAATTTGTTTCACTTAGGTCCTTAAATTAATTGTACTTTGGTCCCTGAACTTTATCTTTTATCTAATTTTGGCCCCTAAACTTTGGAAAATTATATTTTTTATCCCCAAAAGTTTTTCAATTTTTGCAATTCAGTCCCTAGTGAATTTTAACTCTCTTTTTTTGTGATTGTTTCTTTTCTTTAATAGCTAATTATGTTACTTTTGAATATATTTAACTTGCAATTTTTAGATGTTCTTAAATTTCTTTGCGTTTGATACGTTAATGTGAATTTGGTATTTTAACATTATTATTATTTTCAATTAAATTGGTGCTATGATTCTTTTGTTCATTGTGAGTATAAATAGGACAATTTGACTCCACTTAGTCACCACTTCAAACGGGAGGTACTCCTATTTTATTATTTCAATGTCAATTACGTGCTCTTATGTGCTCCTATGTGTTACTATGTGTTTATATATTTTTATATGTTTTATTTATTGCATTTAAATGTTCATTTAAATTTTCTTATATTATATTTGTTTAGTTAATTTTTATAATTATTCGAGAGGCATTTAAATACCTCAAAAATGTAATAGATAGGATAATTAGATTTGTTTTATTATATTTTTCCCTTCTAGATTGTAGTTAGGCGTTCCCCGATGTAATAGATAGGTTTGCGTGTTTATGTGGCTTATGTGTTATATGTTTTACCTGCTTTCGTTAGGATTTTTGCATCTAGATATTATGCTTACGTGTTACGTGCTACGTGCTCTTATGTGTTTATTTGTTTTAATTTATGTTTATTTGTTTTACTATGTACTATTAATGCATGGCGTCACCACACTAGTCCAACGCTAGTTGTGGCTTCTCCTCCGCTTACTTGCTAGCCCAACGCTAGTAAGGAATTTTAGAAATGGGCTAGTCCAACGCTAGATCCTTTAGGTCGTCTTGCGCTAGATTCATTTTTGTGTGCTATTCACTACATTTTCATGCATATTTTCATTTTTAGGATCTTTTCTCATTTTTATGATATTCCCTATTATATTATCCCCTACCCGCTATAGGTGCTAATCATGTCATTTAGAATTGCATCTCATTTAAGCTAGTTCATTTGCTTGTTCATGTTAGGATAATTATTTTTCAAACATGGAAAATGGGTGATTATAACTTTTTAGTTTAAATACCCATTAATCCTTGTATAAGAAAATTATGTCACAAGTTTTTGCCTCCCGTACCATTTATGTTGCATTCCCTTTTTCTTTGATCACTTATATCTATGTATATAATTTAATTTCTTTTTTAATTTCATCATTTGTATACTCGTGACACCTTCAAGGAATTATTTTGGCCTTCGCAATTAATGCGATTGATTCGATTAAACCCTTGAATGGATATTTTGACCCTTTCGATATTTTATAAATTTAGATTTGCATCCATGTAGGAAACATCCAAATATGATAAAATTAAGGGTTAGATTAGGAAAATTTTGACTAAACCTCGCAACTAGCTTAGACTAGGTTGAAAGGGTGCCTTAGGTTTGAGTTAATTGAACCTTTGCCTTCCCTTTCTTCAACTGTGACTCCCGAACCCATTTTCTCTTGTTTTTCAAAGACCTGGAGTTGTCAAAAAGGGTTTTGATTTATTTGATTTTTGTCAAAATATTTTTTGGGTGACTTGGTACACCAAAACTCCATACCAAGTGGCGACTCCTATTTTTTCTTAAAAACCTTTTAGACTAAATTTTGGACCCAAATTGTCGCATTCTTTTTAAGTCCCATTATAGGTCCTTTTTCATTTATTATTAATAAATCACATCTTTTAAACTAACACTTTCTTTTCCATCGCGAAAAATGGGACGCGACAACTTGGCGACTCTACTGGGACGCTAGAGAGTCCAAGCACTTGGTTTAGTTGTATTTTCTCTTTGTAGCCCTTTTATTTATCATATTTGGATGTTTTAGGTTGCATTTTTCTTTTTTAGAATGTTTTGCATTTCACCTCGTATTCGTTCCTCGTATTTCATGTATGTGATGAATGGTTTATTTATTTACTTATTCGTATCGCGCTTTGCATTTGGGATGGGGATATTACCCTAGAGCCCCACATTGGTTCTCGATCCCTCCCCTCCAAACCGAGCACTAGCATACGTGCATACGTTTTATTTTTTATCCCTCATTTTTTTCTTTTAGTGGCTTGTCACGCCACTCTTCCCTGTTAGGATTAGGCGACCCACTTGGACGTGTGATCGCGACACGACGTGTGCGTAGCATGATCCAAGGGGTCACTCAATCTTCCATTTTAAGCTTTGGGTTGATAGCCTTTAGCTTTTAATCGAAGATTGAGGATTTTGATAGATTCACTTGGACATGTGGCCGTGGCACGACGTGCACGTAGCAATGTCTGGGGAATCGCTCGAGCCACCGACAAAGAATCTTGGGATTGGTGACCTTTGGTTTTCAAGTCTGAAGGCTCGGGGAACTAAAACCTATCGAATCTAGATGCATTAGTGAGCCGATACCTTATGCATCCATGATAATTTACCTAAGGTAGAGTCTGCCTTACCCTATTAGGGACACTATTCACGAGGGGAGGGATCCAACCCCTCGTTTCCTTTTATTACTTTCTCTTTGTATTGTTTTGCTATAATGTGTTATGTGTATTTATCTAATTGAACTAATTTTTTGGTTTTTGTCTCCATTGCATTCATAAGCCCTAGAAAATAAGAGTCCTGGCATGGTACTCTCTGGGAGCCTACCCTATTTGATGTGACACGTTTAAATTCAATGCTTCGCATTTGCAGCATGAATACATTTCATTTTAGCCTTAGCCTTACCCGGCATTTAAATGGGGCACTTTTAGATCATATGTCAATTATTTCATTGCATATATAACCGCTTTAATAAACTGGCATCATACATCAACTTTAGAGGGAATGCCGCATAGAGGATCCCGCGTTAGGAATAAGCCGCCTTGTGTCTCGGATATGTAATCTAATGAGATTTGCACGTTTATATTTTTTATACCATCCAAAGGGGTAGTGCACAAGGTAAGGTAGGATTCGATCCCTTTTGTGTGACGGCATTGAGAATGATGAAACAGTTTTTACGCATTAGAATATGAGCCTTTAATAATCACTTTTTGGCCATTTTATCAGAATTGGTAAAAATCCCTTGCGTAAAGGACATTAAGTTGAAGAAATTCACAAATTCCTCATTGTTGAGATGATAAGTATGTCAAGGCTAAATCTTGATTTTAGAAAGTTCATAGACTAATGCATCACAAAGAATTTTTTGAAACTACCAATGGGTTGACAATTTAATCAACTTTCAAATAAACCATCAATTCCATTCACCCCATTTTTACATCTAAGATGATTAAGTCAATTTTTTGGATAGACCATCCATTCTATACAATTTTGCTCATTTTTAATTTCATTTTTTGATAAATCATCAATTTTATTCAATTCATTTAATCTGTTTATTCATTTTTAGGACAATACAATCAATTTTGAATAAATCATCAATTCCATCCAATTCATTATTCATTTAGTCAATTTTTTTTTTTTTGAATAAATTCTCAATTTCATCCAATCCATTGGATCAGTTTTATTCACTTTCGGGATAATCTAGTCAATTTTTGAACTAATTATCAATTTCATTCGATCCATTTGGCCCGTTTATTCTTTTTTTTTAAAGTTTTGATCTATGGTTCACTGAAGAAACTAGTCGGGACATTTCAATCCTTTCAAAAATAAGTTTTTCACACTAAATTGATTTTTAACATCGCTTCTTGTGCCAATCAAAGCAATCAATCCATTCGGACTTTGTCCTCATTTTGTTAGTTATCTATCATTGACGAAAAAAAATCCAATTAGTCCAA